CTTTATGTAAAATCTTAATTAAATATTCAATAAAGATAGAGGCATGGCCTTACCATTAATATTTAAAAAAAAAAAAAAAAAAAAATTCAAATGCCAACTCCAATATTATTATCAGTTAAATCAGAATCATTTAAAATTGAAAATTATCAACATGAATATCCTTTACAAATTAAAAATTCATTTGATTCTGTATCATTCAATAATACTATTACTATTACTAATAAAAATTTGATATTTGATAAAAAAACTTATCATATAAATATGTTTAATTGGCATTATAGTTTAAAAAAATATGTTATTTATCCGTATCAACTCTATTACAATAATATAAATATTTCACTTTTTAATTCGTATTTAGTATAAATTAATTTGTCTTCTATATAATTTAAGATTAAAATAATATGAAATATGGTTTTATTATTAATATTAAATATATGATAAAATTATTAATTATAATATAAATTAAGTTTAATAAAGATAAATATCTATCTAATATAATTTTTAATTATTATAATATTTATCATAATTAAAAACAATTTCAAAAAATGAGCAATTTGAACACCAATAATACCAATAATTTTTATCAATATTATGAATTAAATTAATATTACGACATCTAAGATAATCAGAATTTTCATTATTTTTTTGCCAACAGATACAATCTTTCATATAATTTATTCTATTAGGTTTAAAAGGTTTTATATATTTAAAACAATATATATTTACTAAAAAATCTACAATAGAAAATTCACTTGAATTAATTAAACAAATGTTTAAAATTATAACTTTCCAAAAATTTAACATATTATTTTTTTTAAATTTAAAAATTCGATAACATTTGTAAAATTAAAAATATCTCTATTTAATTCATTAAATTTTGATAATAAAATATAAATATCTTTTATAATTTTATATTTGAATTCTAATTCAAATCGATTAATAAAATAAATTTCAAATTCATTTTTAAATTTTTTATTTAAAAAATGAAGAGTATTAAAATTCTTTTTTGGTGTATATTAATATATTTCATTTTTGTATATATTAATAAATATTTCATTGGATATTATATTAATAAAATATCTAAATAATTCATCTGAAAATATTTCAAAATAATGTTTAACTTTCATATTTTACTATTTTATTTAATTAAAAAAAAAAATATTGATTAAATAAAATTTTGAAATTAATAATTAATAAAAATAAAATAGAATTTTTTTACTTTAAAATTATTACTAATTATAATATAATTCAATATAAATTCAAATATAATAAACAATATATTTAAACTTAACTGATCAATATTTATTGATAATCATTATCAAAAATATGTAACAAAACAATAATCAAACTTGAATTATTTCTTAAAGTTTATCTGTTATCATAATTTCCTTTTATATTTAAATTACACAAATATATTTGAAGTTACAATCTTGATAATCTGTTTTTATTAATAATTTCTTTTGACTATTTAATATTATCAAATTTCCAACAAACGAATAATATTTAATATTTACAACATTAAAAAAAAACATCATTTACAATTATTTCCAATGATCCAAATAACTCAGAATATATTTTATCTTCAAGTTCCAACACTTCAAAAAAACATAAACATGAAAAAATTTCAGAATCGTCTCAAAACATTATTGAAATTTCTGTTTCTAATGAAAATTGTACAATTTGCTTAGAAAAAATTTGAAGAACTTTTACTATAGAATGTCAATATTCTTTTTGTTTAAAATGTATAGAAGTATTTTTATATAATGAAAATAATTATACAATTACTTGTCGTCTTTGTCATTATGAATTTGACCAAGATGAAAAAGAACTTTACTTAAAAATAATCAAACTTAAATATAAAATTCATGAAGAATAAAAACAAAAAATATTAGATAAAATCAAAAAGGAATTTAATGAAGAAATAGAATGATAGAAAGAGAAGAAGAAGATAAAATAATAAATATTAAAAGAAATGCAAAAAAAAATAGAACTGCTATTCATAAGGAATATCTTAAAAGAAAAAAAGAAGAAGAAGAAAAGAAAGAAAAATTACTAAATGAATTAACAAATAGTAATAAAAATAAAAAACAAAAATTATTTGAAGAAAAAGAAAAAGCGATAAAATTAATTGAAAAAAAATTTAATAATACGTAAAATAAATTATTTATTATTAATTATTCTAGAAAATTCTAATATTTGTTTTATTTGTTTTTCAAAATGTTTTTCATTTTTTTCAAATTCGAGATTTTTATATATTTCTTCTATTAAAATATTATTTTGTTTACATATATTACATATTTCATTATTTATTAATGTATTATTTTGAGTATTTATTTTAGCAATATTTAATAAATATTTATTTTTTAACCAAAGACCAATTATTGTTGTTATAAATGTTATTAAAATTAATATAAGATCTGTGATAAATTTATATAATAATATTTTTTTTTCAATTTTATATATTATTTCTTGTTCGTTTATGTTTTCAATATTCATATTTATTAATTCATATTGTTATATTTATACATAAATGTTTAATATATTTAATACAACATCTGTATTGGCATATATGGATGATACACTATGGCTTGCAAACTCAGTAGAAGAGCTTCAAGCAATAACTCAAGC